TTATTTATTCGTAGCTACACCCTCCATTATTATTAAGATAGATAATAAGACACTTAATGGATTGTTTCATAAATTAGGTCTGACCATTAGTGTCATTACTATGATTAAACAGTATTTAATGCACGGCATATAAATTATTCTTAGTTAATGAATGTTGGGCCGATCCTAAAATATTAAATTGCCTGTTAATTTTGTATATTTTTTACATTAATTTCTCCCGGCTCCCTATTGTTATAGGATGAAGATTAGTATACCAAGAAGAGACCAAAGCTCAAAGCGTATCCTTAACGCTTATTGTTGTGGATTTTTGTTAAACATTGAAGTCGTCGTGGCCTAAGGGATAAGACGTCCGGTGCATTCGTGTTGAGCGATGCACCTGTTCGAATCCCAGGCGGGTACCAATTTTTCTAATGAATTATGTTCACGATTGACTTCTACGGTGAAGGAATAATATCGTGTAATAAAAGTGAATCCCGCAAAAATTATAATTTGCGTAATTACTGGTGGTAGGACCTCTTGAGAGTCCGCGCGGGTAGGTACCACAACCCTGCCTATTTCTGCCGTGAAGCAGTAATGCGTTTCGGTTTGAAGGGTGGGGCAGCCGTTGTAACTATACTGAGATCTTAGAGCTTATATCTCAAGGTGGGTGGTGCATTTACGTTGTAGTTGTCCATGGGCTCCAGTAACCACTTAACACCAGGTGGGCTGTGAGCTCGTCCACCCATCTAAGCAATTAAAAAAAAACTTCGTTTGAACATGTCACAAGCTTTCTGTCACATCTCAGCGCTGCTGTTTTCCATCCACTTTATTTTTTTTTACATTGTTTTATTCCAGATTGCCACTGGTTAATCTTAGAACTATGACCGATTATATCAGATTTCGAATCAAACACTCAAGGTTATTTTCCGTGAAAAAAATCCATCGGACAGAATGTATGTACCTACTTCAGTTTTTGTTTTAAATACCGAGGCAAATTTCATTACCGTTGTTTATAATACGGTTTTTTTTTTGTAGGAAGATTCAGTGTTCTTAATAAACATTATTAAACAGTTCGCCCGCGTTTAACGTTCTCGTTACCCGAATATTCAAAGTTCTTTGAAATAAAGTAATATTTCAAAAGACTACTTCCTCTTCCCAGATATTAACACGATTTATCTTGTACGAAAACAGATCTAAGCTCTCCCAGACATAGCGTTTGAGAACATAAAAATATAACTAGAAACAAAACGAATGCATTAAGTTTGATTTAGTATCTTGAGGATATATAATTCACGAATGAATAATTTTCGGAGCGAATATTAAATCTATACAAGTATAATGAATGGTTCTTTGTATGTTTGTCCTGTATGCATGCAGGTAGGTTACCTCATTGCGCGGAACTTAATATTGTTGTTGTAATGACTTCAGCGAATGTTTTTATCATATTAGGGTCAATCCTCGACAGGAGGCCAGTAAGTAGTTTCAGCACATAGGTGTTTTCCATACATTAAAAAGTAAGAGCGCAGTAAGGAGAGACCGGGTTTCAATAATATATGGTAAAGTTTTATCACTAAAATTGATCTTTTCGATCTAAGATTAGAACGAAATTTTAGAATAGTTTTTTCCATTTATTAAAAGAAGTCAGAAGTTTAAAAAAAATCGTCTATCTATATTTGCCGATAGTGGTATGAGAGAAATTTTGCCTGTAGTGACGAAATAACAAATTTGTAACCGCATCATTGAAAGGTTCCATTATTTACTCTTGCGAAATTTTCTACCATTCTTGTTTCAAAGGCCAATTCCTATTACAGACGACCCAATTGAGTTTGCGAGTTTATTCCTTAATGTTGTGAACAGCTTAACAAAATCCTTTAAAAACAATATCGCATACCTAGAAACATTCATTTTCATTTATTCGATTTCATCTCCCACAACTTTATCTCAATAATCATGTAAACACGAAACGTATCAAGTGACAGTTGATTGATTATAAGGCTACAATGATATCAGCCGGCTGAAGTGTGGCTTGCTATCTGGGCTAGCTGCGACACACGATATCTTCATGTAATAAACACCCCGGAGATACAAGGACAATCAGTTGTGGCCTGTTCATTCGAGTTCAGTATTTTGTTACGAAATGACGTCAGAAATGCATCTGTTGTAATTATATTAGTAATTTACTGGTGGTAGGACGTCTTGTGAGTCCGCGCGGGTAGGTACCACCGCCCTGCCTATTTCTGCCGTGAAGCAGTAATGCGTTTCGGTTTGAAGGGTGGGACAGCCGTTGTAACTATACTGAGACCTTAGAACTTATATCTCGAGGTGGGTGGCGCATTTACGTTGTAGATGTCTATGGGCTCCAGTAACCATTTAACACCAGGTGGGCTGTGAGCTCGACCACCCATTTAAGCAATAAAAAAAAAAGCTGGACTTTCAAAAATATGATGAGAAAAAAAACCTAATAAGTTATATTGTATCTCATGAATATAGTTGTGGTATTAACGAAATTTGCATAGATTAATGTATGGACGTAAAACATTATACTTTTTACTGATAGATTTAAAATATTAAAACCTTTAATTTTATAATTCTACTTTCAATATAACAAATAAAAAATCTGTACAAGCAAACTGGACTAAATCTGATTAAAGTGTTATAGTTTTCACAGAATGCACAAGTCGACAATAATATCATTGAAAAGTTTTAATTTATTCCGGTCACCGTTCTCGTCGAACCCGTCGCTTGCGACGAAGGGCTCGACGGGTAAATTAACCCTCAGACACAGCCCACTGAGTTTATTTATTTATTTAAAAAAAGGCTCTTGCTAGGGTTCGTGTTAGCTAGGAGAGGACCTCTCGCTGCCGCGCGTCGTGGCTACGATGCTCGGCAGCGACGCGTCCTGGAAGGCGATGCTCGACTTCTGCGAGTCCACCATCTCGCAGAAGGAGGTGGCGGAGCGAGAGAGGGAGAGCTCTTCCCTTTCCGCACCGATCCGTCGCCGTCGAGCCGGGGGCCGGAGGCGGGAATACGCCCGTACGTCCCGGCCCCTGTAGGTGGCGGCCTCCCCCCGGTGAAGGTCAAGGGGCGACCTGAGGGGGTGAGGCCGCGCGGCGCGCTACCAGCACTCTAGCGCGCTGCCGTGGAGTGAATAGAGCGACCGGTCGACGGTGTATCGCGTCCCGACCCGGCAGGCTGGTTCTGGTCCAGCGGGGTATTCCGGGACACCAGCGGCACCGTCTGGGCGGCCCGACGGGCTGCCGTACCGAGACGGCCGACGTTTCAGAGCCTTCGATTCGCCTCGAAGGCTCCGTCGGCTGGGCGTCCTTGGGGTGAGCCGCGCCGTCTGGTTGTAGTGTTGACCGCGGTAGCCCCCCTACCTCATCCGGGTTCTGACCTCGGAGGGGATCGGACGTCGGGTGTAAGAGTGCAGGGGAGTCGTTTAGTGGGTGGGCTCTAAAATCCTTGGGCCCGCGGTCTGCTCACAACACCATGCAGATCGTTGAGTCTCACATACCCCGCGCGCCCCTTTTGCGCGGGGACCTCGTAGGAGGTTCGGCCCTCTCCCCGAAAAAAAAAAAAAAAAAAAGGGTTCGTGTTAGCAATTTCGTCAGGTTTGAGCCCCGTGAGCTCACCTACTAGTTAAGGTTCCGCTGGAATAGCCTCTCATGGCTACCAGCTTAGGTAGGAAAAAAAATAAACTTAATTTACTTTAGGACTATTCGTCTCGCGATTGAAAACCACATATATTTAATTACGTCCTTCAAGTTTCAACCAAGATTGGGTAGCCTGTTTAGATTAAAATAGTAACAAGAAAATCGACAAAGTATTTAGATCGTAAATAACAATTAATTTTAGTATTGTGAAATGTAGGTCATCCGTAGTACAATCATCCAACTACTACATGTTCGTATTCATTTTCAATTATATTGTGCTTAGCATTATTGTTACATTCAATTCATTATTGCGTTTCATTTGCTTGTTCAGTGAAACGGCAGTCGGGCCATTTGAAAATCCGGTTCCCAGTAATCTGAGATTTACGTTCGTTCGTTCACCAAAATCTGGTAGTCCAAGCTCACAGTTTTAAACTGACCTATTTCGAAATCTGGTACACGCAGTCGAGCATTCGGTTTAGCACGAAAATAACATTTGTTAATTTCATTTATAAAGATCACGAATTTCATAATTAAACTTGTCTTCGTTCCGACGACTAATAGTTTAAGAGAAAATATTAAGTAATTAATTAACAATTAACAAATGGGGCAAGCAAGTCACCCTCTGGCAACCAAGACACGGCAAACGAAGTAGGGGTCGTCAAATCAGAAGATGGGAAGATGACTTGAAGCAGACAGCGGGACCATTCTGGCTGAGAGTAGCAAGGGATAGGACCCATTGAAAGGAATTGGAGGAGGCCTATGCCAAAAGGCACACCGAACTTATGAACCTCTTTAACCCTATGTTTAGGAATAAAAAGGCTATTATTATTATTATTATTAATTGAGTGGATTTAATAATAAAACTAAATCTTCCAACCCGTCTGGTCACCGTGGAAGATTACGACCAAAAGTTCCTTCAAAGTTACAAAACTCAAACCCAACCTTAAAAACTTCGAAAAATCTCACAATGCAAATTCGCCAATTAAAAATTATAACATACAATGTCAGAACCCACTCGTCACACGACCGACTATTAGAACTAGAAGAATGTTTAAATAAAATTAATTGTGATATCATGGGACTTTCCGGGAACAGAAGAACACAACACTTTCATATTTTGTTACATTGAAACTTCAGCCGGAACATATGGGGTGGGATACATAATACACAAGTCTTTGGAGGAGGCCTTTACCCAAACTGGGATTTCTTGTTAACTTATAATTATTTTAATACACGTACTTATATTACTAACATAATTTATTTTAAGCTACCTTGCTAATTAAAGTCATATTTGTTGTTTAATGTATTACTATAATCCACCTAAGATTTTAGAACAGAAATAATAGGTAGATAAAGTTAAAAACTTACGGATTCTCAAGCATCCTCAAGCACACTTTTGCCATCGTGCTGAGTGTTTCAGTTGTATTCTCCAAGTCCTGTTGATTATCATTGACGAATTGACTAGTGGCTTCGGACAACACCTTCAACATCGGAGTGGCTTGAGCGTAGAACAATGACATTCTGTTGGCGACCTCTGCGGTTATGTGAGGCTCCTCGCCCGGCGGGAGGTCCGAATTGATGATGCCACCTCTCGAAACGCTTCGCCTGTAGTAGCTGAAGTCGTTCTGTATCGCCGGAGTTTTCATCTGCACGAAAAATTTTTTAGTGACCAATGATAAATGACCCAGGATTATATTGATAACGTAAACAGTTCGGTAATGGATTCGTCAATGAAACAATTTCTATGCGTAAATCTATTAGAGATTACAAATTAAACTTAAACCACCCTGCTTATTTCTGCCGTGAAGCAGTAATGCGTCTCGGTTTGAAGGGTGGGGCAGCCGTTGTAACTATACTGAGACCTTAGAACTTTTATCTCAAGGTGGGTGGCGCATTTACGTTGTAGATGTCTATGGGCTCTAGTAACCACTGAACACCAGGTGGGCTGTCAGCTCGTAATTTCTATACGTAAATCTATTACAAATTAAAATCTCAATTGAACACCAAAAAAATACTTAGACGAATTCTGAAGAGAATCTAATGAAAAATTTGCATAGTCAAACAAAAAAATTTAAACAAATATACAATGTAATCACTAATTTATTATAAATATTAATTGTATTCGAATATATGAAAATCGATTTACAACAAGTTAAGACCCGATTCAAAGCTAAAATGTTGATGATTCAGATATCTGTTTCGCAATATGACAAAACAAAAGTGAAAGCCGTCGTATTTGAAGATTCAGTTAAATAACATTGGACAATGAACGTAATTCATCCCGTTATACAAAACTTTTACAAAAGCTATAGCAATATTTACGTTTATTTTTTAACAATCGGCAATGGAAATAAAGCTGTTAAAATATGAATAATCAAGTGTGTCCGTCAATTCAATACACCCTTTTAATACTTTATAGTATTAACATTTATTTTTTTCTAATCAACAAAAGATTACATATATTTCTCAAAAAAGGTTTTATATCAAGTGGACCTCGGAGACGCTTTGGATGACACCGTATGGTATTTAGAGCCTTTCAAGGACTCGTCTTTTTCAACATAGTTTGACATGCACTATAGCGTTCGGGGATACTATTATTTTCAGAAGACTATGTTCCTGTTCCTTTAATAATAATCTAATGAAACGAACAGTAATAAATACAATAACGAACTATTCACGGAGAAGTGACTCACTGAGGCCGAGGTCAGCCAAGCCTCACTTTCTACAATAGCTGACAAATTCACGAATCGCTACCCTTATCTGTCGCATCGAATGATTACTGTTTAAATAATATTATTTTTATATATTATATAAAGTACATAACGATATATTATGTACATCCATATTATATGAGATGGCATAGCCGAAATTTTAGTAAGTAGCCGTAGTAACTATACTGTGACCTTAGAACTGAACTCATATTTTAAGGTGGGCGGCGGCATTTACGTTGTAGATGTCTATGGGCTCCAGTAACCACTTAAAACCAGGTGGCCTGAAAAAAAAATTGCCGAACAAATAATGCGTCGAAGTAAAAAATCAAAGAAATTCGAGGGAACGTGCTATAAATACTGTTTTGTGGTTACTTTTTTCTTAATAACAGACACTATATTTAGGAACATTAAAAAAAAAACAATTACTTTCAGAAACGTAAATACGTTTCGGTTTTTTTTCTAAAAACAAACCGTAATTTACGAATTTGATCTCTATTTTTACACAAAAAGGTACATTGCGTTTATTATCTTTGTTTACAATATTACATACAACGTACTACTGGCTTTTGTTCGCTACTACGGCCATCGACACAATGAATGGGTCAAAAGGGCTCAAAAGTAATTGCTGATTCAATTACACTAGAATACGAACTGTCTTGAGATATGTATTATTATTGTTTTTGTTATTCTCAATGGACATTAAAGAATTTGTTGAATAGTTCGTAGCAATCCAACTATGGCGCTGTGTCATGCGGTTCTTGCATATTTATACGCACGACTGCATCGTTCAAAGCGACTATAATTGGATATAGGACACACTTTAACGTTTACGACAACAAGACAAATGATTTTCGACACAGCTCGTTTATATTTGAGAATAATTCGTATCGTGATATTTTTGATCATGTCATTTGTACCGTTTTGAATCAACGTTATCTACGAAAACCTGTTGATTATTATAAAAAAATATTCTAAAGATAATAAATAACGCGGACAATGTTCGTATGGATAAATATATATATATCCTTGAACGATATATATTATAAATCGGATAAAATTATTTTGAATTTCGAATTAAACCGCATTACTTGTTTTTTCTCAATGGAGATCATACATATTATTGGAAGACCATTAAAGTAACGGTAGTATGAAAATTTGCTACAAATTATTATTTAATTTATCAGGAACCTGCATTGCGTTAATGAAAATTTCAAGGTTACCACCACACACTAAATAAAGTTTTCCATAAAAATGTTTAAACGATTGAATCTCCGAACAAAGTCATTAACAAGCTCGGTGGGAGATCTCACTTTTATATTAGAACATTGAAAATGTTTCCTTCTTATTTTATTACGTTTATATTATTATCCTTTATCCAGTAGTGGAGAAGTTTGATTGATAGTCATGATCTTTAAATTAATACATGCAGCAAAAAATTTGTACCCCTTTTTACGAAAATTGCGCGGACGGAGGAGAATGAAATTTTCCAGAGTTATAGAGAATATAGAGAAGGAGTGCACAATGCTAATATATTTTTTTAATTATGCATAAAAAGTACATTAGATTAATAAAAATAAAAACATTACACACACTACCATGTATAGACAACACATTTAAATATATTATACTCTTTGTTGTCAAACTTGTTTATTGTCAAACTTTTGTTATTGTTTATGGTTAAATTGAGAATAGATTAATATTGTTTGTCTTTAAAATTATTTGTCTTTAGTGTGGTCTTTGCGAAATTTGTGATTATAGAATTATAAAGTCTTTCGACTATATAACCATAATAATTTCAACTAATTATGTAGTCTATATAAATTATATTATATCTATAGTATTTATTATTAAACAAATACTTACTTTATATTCGTCGAATTTCAAAACGAACTCGAGTATCTCCGCGAACTGCTTGACAAGAGCTTGCTGTTGTTCAAGGTGTTGCGTGGGACTCATTGCACCTCCCACCAGGGAACCCAGCAATCGGGGCACCACCTGCCGCAGACATTATTATTTATTAATTTTATTAGTTAAGTACACGATTAACTCCATAATGCCGGTTCCAAGCCCGGATGAGAAAAGGGGAGGCTTGTGTTGGAGTTTAATTTTTACACCGTAAAACAGTCAACGCCGAATATCTGGCGGCGGTTAGTTAGTCGGACCCAAATAAGGCTTAGCGAAGAACTAAATCTCTTCTAAAAGCACTGCCGTAAAAGGACGCCAGACCCCGCCATGTGTATTTTCCCAAGAAAGCCTCATGAGGCCACGACAACAAATCAAAAAAGCCCGCTTTGACCAAATAAAATGGGAATGACATTAATGTAATCGAAGCAAAGGGGGCGTAGTGCCATGCGCTGGTCCGACCAAATTAAAATAAAATTGTACTCCAGCATCAATGTCGCTATTAACTGAGTAGAGGACAGGAATGAATGGGGGAACATAGTCCGAACAAAAGTGGTCCAGTGCTCCGTAAAGGTTCCTCCCTCAGCACTGCACAGATGCAAGGAAGACGAATTGAAATCAACCAAATATGCATTACTAAGGAAAACCCTAAAATAATTGATCGAAACTTATAAAATTAAAAAGGGACAACACGAGCACTAGTTTTTAAATAAAAAAATAAATAATCATCACAATCGTTGGATATACAAACAAGTTCTGAAGTAACACACAAACAAAAATTATAGTCGAATTGAGAATTTCCTTTTTTTTGGATGTCTGTTAGAAAAAGCTTAAATGTGAAATGAAGTTTTTTTATCAGCTCTGTGAACAATTTCTTTTCAGACGTTATTTTTCGATATGAAATGTAAAATCAAAATACAACATAGGTAAATTGCGTTTTTAATTCTTTTACTATTACTGTTTTTTTTTTACTCCGGATTCGGATAATTAAATCCGAAATAAATTTATTAGCTCAGTTTCCTTTCAATTATAACAGGAAACTCATGTAAGATCTCTAACATTAAAATATTAAAAATATTGTTTGAACTACGAAGTAGGTACTGATGACATTAATAATTAATATCTCGACTTCTTGGACAACTTGAAATGAACACACTCCACATTGACATTTGAAGTTCTTTTTTTATTTTACCGAACCCTAATCTGGTTTCCGGCATTTATTCAGTTCCGTCGCTTTTACGATAACAGGATCCATTGTATATGTACATATAATTGTAATCAGTATTGTAAAAATATCGAATAGTTATTTAAGTAATAGATTTTACACATTTTTTCTCTCAATCTAATCTATATAAGCTTTTAGATTATTTATAGAACTAAATCAAAAAATTAATTGCAATAAAAAAAATCCAAATCGCGAAAATTCGACGTTATGCCTTTTTGCAGACATTACCATTATTTTAGTGTCTGCTTTTTGTCTGATAAGCTCAATTGCTAGAACTATAGTAATCTATATTTCAGTATTTAATCTATTGAGGTACCAGAAGTATGGAAGCCATTAATTGTAGAATAGTACTGACCAGTGAGTTTACAGGTCCTTAGCAGAACACTAACATCTACATACGTATTGAACTTTAATGTTAACGTAGTATATGTATTTTTATAAATACACAAAGACAAGAGAGAATTAAAGTCCTTTATATTAAATGATGTAGATGAGCTGGTGTACTCCCAAGCCACATGGCGCTGGGTGCTTCGCGAAGCTTAGTCGTTACAAACTAAATGCCGTCGCCGTTCTCGAGACATATGTCAAGCATCTTGATAGTTTAGTAATACACCTGTCCCACTATTCAGATAATAATGGCCGAATGCTTCACGTATATTCCTTCCCACCAGCGCCTGGTTACAATACGTCCGAAGACCAATTAATTAAATTATAAGAAAATAAGAAATTGATTCTGGACAGGATAGTATTGGTACTCAGAATGAATTACAGTATTCCCTAGCAGCTGCTGCCAATGTTATTTTTCGAATACCTGAGTGAACGACTCTTTTAGTGTCAAGTGGTATCCATACATATCACAAGGTGAATGCTGTCTCATCAAACATACGACTCAAGTCTCAAATTCAAAAGAACTGGTCCTCTCTCCAAACCGGAACGCATCATGGCTAGGCGGTTCAAATGGGCAGGAGCCTGTTACCGCTCATCCGTATTCCCTAATAAATGGCCTGGACAGAATATTATCATTATTTTTCCTACCTAAGCTGATAGCCTAGAGAGACTATATCAGCGTAACCGGGCGAGTAGGTGAACCCACAGGGCTCAAACCGGCAGTGTTGCTAACACTGGTCCTAGCAAGAGCAGTGTTTCGCAGAATCTACCATCGGATCGGAACGCGACCCACTGAGAATTTTCGGCGAGAAACTCAATGGGTTATTACCATTGTACGATCCTATAACTATGAATATTTAACAATTTATGACAGTTGATGCATAACAACGATGAAAGAGAAGGCGTTGCGAAATGTTCCAGACAATGCCAGGAAGCGATTGTTGTTTAGACGTCTATATAGTCGGGTTTTATGCTTACGAGAAAACCGTTCCCTTTTGTTACATACCCACGTCCTTTTATTCATCACCAGATATCATGCATGTGCACTAAAAGTGATTTTTATGAAAACTAAGCTAGCTTTGGTACTTTAGACTTTATTATTCTCAAGTTCTATTTAAACATACATTAGTTTTTTTTATAATATTATTTTCAGATTATTATTATATCTTTTGTTTAGGAAGGTAAATTTTGTCCAAAATTGTTTCGAAGAATATTTTTTCAGAATTGAAGGATAATGGAAATGTTGGAATTTCCTTAGAATTATAGCTTTCATAGCATAATGCAAATTGTAATCAAACAACCGACACAGTACGGACCGATTACATTAAAATTCAATGATTACTCGAACTTATTTTATGATGATTTATGATGATCTTTTAAAAAGTCTCGTTTTTATCATGTTACGTTGCAACATCGTTAAGCACTAATAAATAATAGTTGTAATAAATAACTCAGTAAAATCCGATTAAAAGCTTTTGCTTATAGCTCAATATAAAACTGTTGCAAGCTGAAAAAATAAATAAACAAAAAGTTATTACATTTCAATTATAACTATTAGAGATTATTTAGTAAGCCCTAACGATGCTGAATACGTTGATTGATTTATTGCTTCCTTATGGTTGACGGTAGTCCATGACTCATCATGTTTACAGTAACCTACTTAAAATTGTTTTCATATATGTTGGAGAAACTATAGTACAAAAGATGATTAATTTATACAATTATCATTTTATTACAAGAGCTTGGTGCATTGCGTTTTATTAAGTACACGAATTACCCATCCTGGTAGCAAAATCACATTATTGACCTTATGTGAACTTCTGTTTTGCAACTGCTTCCTTGGTCTTGGTTAGGGATCGCTGTGATCCTCCGTCTATTAGATTGGATAAATAAGGCCCATGGAGATTATGCTTGGTGTTCCAAACATTTGTTTTCGAAACACGGAGGACTAATTCCTAGGTCAGTGTTGGCTGGATTGTGGCTTTCGGAAGGAAGTTCCTTTTGTAATACCTAAGTAGTGATTTGAATCAGTTAGGGTTCATTCGCCTACAATGCCTATATAAACTCAATTACTCAATGACCTTGGAAATAATTTAATTATTCCTCTGCAATATTACGAAGATGCAAACCGATTTTTTCTGCGCGTAACAACAAAAAGCCTACGTCGCGTCATTACGACGACTATTTACCCTTTACCATATTTAAAAAGTATTAAGTCACGCGAGTAAAACAAATCATGTTATTGATAATAGAAAGATAAGAATGGAGGAAATTCATGCTACACGGGTCGCCGAGCGTAACATTTGCAAAAGATATTGTGATTACGAAAGCCTTGCTCGTTCCCGACTTTTTACGGATGTTAGGCAATATAAAAATTAACATCTTGATTTGTTAAGGTTGAAGAAACTAAGTTTATAATAATCTATTAAAATATTATTTCATTTGCTGATGCATATTACAACTATCACATTATTTTTGATGATCAAATATCATGCTCTGTCCTAATCTACGCAAAACAATTCGATGTTTCACAGTAAAACTAAATAGTGTGATTCATAGACACAAAATGGCGGTGATTCATAGATCCCAGGATGTTATTCCTGCGTTTTTTTTTTAAGAATGACTCTCATCCCTGTGCGTTCAGGATAATTCTACTTCCAGCTACTGATGACTTAATACAGCATGTAGCATTATTTCCCTTCCTAAATAACACGCGTTTCACAATGAATATTAAATGCGAGGAGTCAGTACTCAGAGTGATCCAACTTTCAAGGTTACATTGAATTTATTAAGACTGACAAGAAAATTGGTCAACGAAACAAATAGGTAGATAAGATTTCAACGTTAAAATTATTATCACTAAGGTCATATTTGAAATCATTTCCTTTTGCTGTTGTTTTTTTAATGTAGTTATAAAGTGGAAAGTACATGTTATCACTTTTATATATGTGTTTTTATGTATCTCATATGTGTTTTGTGTTATTTGCTGACCGCTTTTGAAGACTCATCATTCAACTATCTCGCTCTTCAGTCCCGAACCTGTGATAACATGGCGGTTTTTATTGATTGTCGGGGATGTATCGTAAGACTGCAAGAGCAGTTACTCCCATCCTGCCTATTTCTCGAAGCAGTTATGCGTTCCAGTTTGAAGGGTGGAACGGTGTTTAGACTTTAACTAAATCTAATGTTGGCATTAATGTTGTAAGCGGTAGCCACAATAAAAATAATTATTCACAGCACCGCTTTAATGTTGGATATATGGGAAGCGGTAAAGTAAGATGACCTAGAAACAGGGGCAGGTGAACATGGTTGTTGCAGGCCGAGGTATGCGGAGTCGCACACCTGTATCTAATAACGGCTATCTTAATTTTCTTGCTGGAAAAATAGGCAGCCAAAGGGCGATAACATTAACGCGCCCTGGCCCTAAGCTACCACAGAAAAACACAGGTTGTTATATTCAAATTAGTTTTGAATTAAGTTA